ACTGGTAACACTACGAGATGCTTGACTGTGGTGGAAAACTTCAGTGACAAAATTACATGTTTTTTTCCATCAGTAACCGTTTTCTATAATGTAACATTTTTCGAGATCCTTAGCTTACTTCGTAACTGCTAAAACTCTCAGTCTTTCCCGTGATGATCAACAAAAATGATCCTTGATTAAATCTCAGGGTTAGAAATTTAAAGTAGTTGTGTCCCGATGGTTGTGACGGGGGGAGTAATGTTTTAAAGATCCTGGGCGTAGAGCGTCATAAACAACATATTCAAGCCCAAATATTGCATCCAAATCAACAGGGCAAGGAGGTTGTTGAAATCTTTGACTAGCTTAGTAATTGCGCGAGAGGAAATAAAAAAGGTTCTCTCTACAAATTCAGTGGCATCATTATCATCTGTGTTATTATCAAACACAAATGGTTTTTTCATTCCAGCATGAAGGATATCGTTCCTTCAAAAAGTCCCCTTTACCTGATGGGAAATAAACCCTGGAAAAACCACTGAAATATCCCGTTAATGTTTTTCAATTATTTTTGTGAAGGTACTTTTATAACAGCCCCACCATAGGCTTTAAAAAATCATCTTCTTGGTTAGGGGATCGTGTTAGGTCAGTACTCTTTTTTAATAAGTGGATAACGCCAGGCTCTGAAATAATTATTTAAGTCGATGTGATTCGTCAAATCCCACTTTTTCTCTCGAAAAGTAAAAGGATCATCGCTGAACGAATCTTTTTGCGATGCCTTTCTGACGCTAGCATTGTCCCGAGTAAAATTATCTAAAACATAGGATCGGGTTTCTGGATTTTGGTGCCTTTGTTTCTCGGAAGAGGTACGACGAGTGGGGGCCAGCCGCACGACTGCTTCTCATATCTCTTTCTAACTTATAGCAATTTTCTCTTACATGTCCTTTCTGTTCAATAGGTACATTTGATTTTTTTTCTCGTTATCAATTTCTGTTAGCCACAGAGGGGCAGAATCAGGGTTGTGAGTTTTTGGTAAAGGTACGAGAAATTACAGAACAGGTACATCGGCCCGGATGAGCAGTGATTTAGTTGCCAAAATTTTGGAAATTTTAGTTACCCCTTTTTCTCTGTGTTTTAGTGAGAAATCTCGTAATTGTTTCTAATGCTGCAGTTTCCAGAATATCGAGGAGTAGATCGTCAGATATTTTGTATGTCAACAGACATACAGTTGTTAAACTCTTTCGTGTAGTAACAATGAAAAAGGGGTCGTGTTTTACATTTGCGACTACACCATCCTCAAAGCAACTTTTTCTCTTGAGCAAAAATTACACAGTTTTATCTTTTTGTCGTTGTAAGTCGAAATGCAGTTGATAACTTACAGGCAAAAGTTATATTTTCTAGAAAAGTTTTTTTGACGCATCAAAATAAGTACTTAGCAAAAAGGTAAAGCAGCAGTACAAGTTTTTAGCCTTCCTGTCAAAGTGTGTGCAACAAGGTGCCCAGGCTTAGTGGCCCGTTTTAGCACGTGCCGGTTTCAAAAAACTAAAAAAGTTCTAAGTCACTTCAAAAAAAATTAGGAACCATGGATGCGCTTTTTGCCAAATTAAAGGGTCCCGTGATATATCAGCTGTTGCCTTCCAAGACGAACATTTTTTTCTGGAATTTTTGTTCAATTTCCTTGAGCCTCTATTTGTGCAGTCTGCAAATAATGAGGTGTTAAACCTTCAAAATGTTCCCGGAGATAGGACCAATGGGTAATGGAGGAGTAAGGGAATCTAATGTGGTCTGGCGGTCCCTTTGGTCGGACACTTCGTCCCGGGCCCTCTCTAGGATAAATGTACAGGTGTAGCATAACTGTACTAGTTGTGGCTGGTTTTTATCCCAACCCGTTATCTGTACTATTGGTCGTGAGGGGGAAGGTGAGGGAGGTTCTAGGTTGAATTTGCCTTAGAGCTCTTTTTCTAAGTAATCAAATGAGTCATACTTCCCAAAAGTGACACTAGGCTTTTGAATCTGATCATAATTGTTTTCTGAATGGCAGGAAACAAAAAATTTTTAATTAAACTCGAAGTTTTGCGGTGTAATTCCGTTATAAGTCAGCACACCCAGATTTTTGGGTACTCGCCAACACGTCTGAAATTTTAATTTACTAAATAGACAAAGTCAGGTATCAAATTTAACTGTTCACTTTGGATTTTATCACGAAAATAACTGTACTACGAGAGAGTGATTATGGGAAAAATATAGTCCTAATAGAATTTTTGTGTTTGGGTTGTCTTTGGTAGGTCATTTAGTTTTCTTCTTGGATCAAGAACTCAGTCAAGTCTACATCCCCCTGGTATGTTGTACAAGATAAACTCAAAGTTTCAGATTAGGAAATTTCTCAAAAGGGTTTTATCTAGAGTTATTTTGTATGTCAAAAGGCAATTTCTCCAACCCTTGGATCAAGAGCCTCCCGGAAGGCCCCCTTTTTTACAAAAAAAAGCGATTCTAAAAGCTTAGGATCCCAGTGAATATAGAAAAAGGGTGCCTTTAGAATCCCGCCAGTTATGGGTTTTTTTAACAAGTAGTCGATCCCCGTCCCAAATTATCCATTGAATTCAGTAGATTTAATAGTGCTTCAGGTTACAACGGTAGGGTCTAAATAGAGAAAAAAAAATTTTAAAAAATTTAAATTAAATTGTTGGGGGATATTATCAAAATTAAATTTAAACTTCAACAAATTAATAAAAACCTTTTTGAATGTTGAGGCACATATACATTTTAAGTCTTAAATACCCTCTGGGCGCCCCCTTTTTTTCCCCCCCCCCCCCCCCCCCCCCCCCCCCCCCCCCCCCCCCCCTTCTGGGCCCCCCCCCAAAACCCCCCCTGGCCAAAAGGAAAAAAAATTTTTAAGAACTAAGTAGGGGGAAATTGAGTCTCCAAAAAGTCCCAAACTCCCTACTTTAAAATGAAAACAAGTTCAAAAAAAATCCCTGACTGGTAAACAGTTCCGTCAATTTTAAAAAGCTAAGCCAATAGTTTTCAAGGCATCGACACAAATCAGTACAGGAAAATTTTAAGCACATGTTGGGAAAATCTGCCGAAACTAAAAAAATAAAAAAACAGGGGAATTTTAACAAAAGGCAATAAAAATTTGGACTGTTGGGAAACGTCCAACCCCCAAAGCGGCTAACCAGACCCGATTTTAGGCGATGAACACCCCCCCTCGATCACTAAGTCCGTGGAAAATCTCCGAAACAGAAAAGCCGGCGTCTTCGAGCCAAAGGAAATTACATGTTGAAATCAAACAACGGGACAATGTTTCTTCCATAACAAAAGGAAGCTAAGTCAAAAAACAATTTAAAGCTAAACGATTTAGTATTAGAAATCAAGCAATATAAAATTTTAAAAAGGAATAATTATATATATATTATATATATTTATATATATATAAAATATATTATATTATATTTTTATATATATAATTTAAAAATTATATTATTTTTATATATTATATTAATCATTGAACCCTTTGGGGTTGCAACAAAGGGGCTTAAAATGTTCCAAAAACCCTGGGTGGCATGCAAAACATAATGAGGTCAACGACTTCTGAAAAGACCCCTTTTACAGCGGACCCAGCCGACAGTACCCCTAGCAGCCAACATACCCCCAGCCCAGAAACTACCCGATGGGTTACCCTCTACCCTTTGGGAAAAATAGCAAAGCTCTTAGCATGGGACTAACCTGTGTGTCGGCACTGCTGCAACCCAAACCCTCACGTGTTGGATGCCGGACGAGCCTGGGCCAGGGGGGGAGTACAAGTCGCAAGTACAGGGAATAAGCCAAAAAGTATCAATTTGTCACACGGGTCAGAGATTGGGTCTAGGGGAAAAAATGCCCCACGTTTCCTTGAAAAACTGGGCTCCAGACTTCGACACCCCAGGGACCCAAAAGCGCCTTTTATGTTCCAGGCATCAGTGGGCCCTCCCGAGGAAAAAAAGCATGGCTACTGGGCTACATCTGTTTGGAGGAGCTGAGGGGTTCATAACCTTTGATAATTTTTACCAATGTATTCTGTTTTTGTTTTCTATCAGTGTATTCTGTCTACTAATAAATTTGCATTTGCATAAAAAATATGGGGGGGGGTAGGAGAAAAAATTCAAAAAGCTCCGGGGGAACCTTGGTTTTTCCCCGAGGACGTTTTTTGTTTCTCTGAGGATGAGGGATCCCCCGTCAAGTTTGGGGTGGTACATTTTATATATATATTTTTATAATATTTAAAAATTTTATATTTATATTTTATTATATATATTTTATAATATTTATAATATATTTTATGTCGTGCGAATAGGGAGAACTTGCGATCTTGGCTTAAATAGCAACGTTCATCTTGCCATATAGGACAAGTGAAAATTTGTGTATGCAATAATTTCGCAAAAATCATTCTGAACCTAACGAAAAAAATATAATTAATTGTGTTTGTTTAGTATTAATTATTGTAAACGTATTTAAAATATATTCAGTAGGATAATGCTAAAATAAATTGTTCTTGTTATAATAAGGTTAGGTAAGTTTTCTAAGTTCCTTTTGGTGCAAAATTATAAATTTTTACATCAACATTAATGAAAAAAATATATCTTTAAACATATAAGAGAAAATTTTAGAAAAGACTTAATTTTAAATTATTATTATTAATATGAACCAAGTTATTTAAATATTCAGCACTGACATTATACATATCACACTATATATATATATATATATATATATATATATATATAATTATATATATATATATATATATATATATATATATATATATATATATATATATAATTTTTTTCTGAACAGTATACATATGATGTAAATGACCGCCGTTTTCTTATAAACATTTGACAATAGCTACGTTGAGTTAGAGTATATTAGAACCTTAGAACACAGTTTATTTGTTGTTGCCTTTCTGCAGTAATATGATTCAGTAATAAAGATATCAAGCACAGTATTACCAGAATAAAAAAGCATAAGTAACGTGTGTATGTAAGTAACATTTGTATATAACTAGATTGTGTACACAGGTGATCCTGAGCAGTCAAAAACACCTGGACAAAAGTCGTGATTACAACTTTCTCCACCCCTGGCTCGGCTCTGGTCTCCTCACCTCCACAGGTCAGTTGTTGTCCTCACCAAGTATTTGTTAATATTCTTGCCCAGTATGTACTCAGACTTTTACTCATATATTAACAATGTATTTACTATTGCACTTACTCGTATATTTATCTCTGATTTACACATGTACTTGCCCACTTATTTACACATGTACTTGCCCACATATTTCCACATGAACTTGCTTATTTAGTTGCTTATGTATTGCTCTTCTTATTTACCCCTGTGTATGCTTTGCAAAAACCGCATCTTTAAGTGTGTATAAAACTTAATCTGAGTTGTGATTTCCATTTACTTCTCGATAGAGCAGACCTCCTTTATTTAAAAAAATACGTTTAAGAAGCACTGGTGAGGAAAATATACATGTATTCTGAGTGTAAGCAGCAGAGTGCTCGTCAGCTATTCATGCCATCTGATTTAAGTATTTTGCTAATTCAACTCATGCACAGGGTGAGACTCTGGCTAGCAAGCCGGTGCGCTACAAACAATGGATATAGTATGAACCTATCCTATTCAGCACCCTCATTCCCAACACCGTTACCTGGCTAAGATACGTTGATGATATATTGGTTTTATATCCGAGACGTCTCAATATCCAGGCCCTTCTCAGCAAGATCAATGCAGCCGAACCATCAATAAAGTTTACACATGAACTCGAAAACGATGGCAAACTTCCTTTCCTGGACGTTCTCCTGTGTAGATCTCCCGACAGCGACAAACTTCTCTTCAAAGTGTATAGAAAACCTACCAAGAAGGACGATCTTATACACTTTTATTCACACCAAGACACCCGCACTAAAAGAGGAGTCCTCATTGGCTTCTTCTTGAGAGCTCTTCGCATCTCCAGCCCTTGTTTTCTTGAAGAAGAATGTACTTACATAACACAAGCCTTTACACGTCTTTAGTCCCCATCTTTCTTCATCCGAGATTGCAGACTCAAGGCACAAGCTCTCCTCAACAAACCGCCCATGGAACAGCCCCCTAAGAAGTTCATAGTGCTCCCATATGGTGATGTTGCCACGAATACTCGCCTGGCACTTGATATGAGTAACATCAACGTTTCTACCATAAACACATCATCTATAAAACACCTCACTACGAAACGCAGCCCCACACCTCTAACTGCTACAGCAGGCGTCTACACTATCCCCTGTGGATTCTGTCCCAAGAAATAGGTAGGCGAGACAGGCAGAGATCTTGCAGTCCGCCTGAATGAGCATCGAAATGCCTGTAACAGCGACTATGTAAGGTACGCCTGTGTCCTCCACAGACTCCACGGGGCATTTGATGAACTGGAATGAGGCACAACTCGTTCTCACCGAACCAGTCCTCAGACGCCGATGGTGCCTAGAAGCCTCACTAATCGCCGTCACCAACACTAGAACGTAACACTGGAAACTACAAAATTTCAAAAACATTGGCATATATGATACTTAAGCACCACCAACCCAACAACACAGGAGTCACATGATTTCATCGTCTACCCGTCCTCATCCCAGCATGACATTCTTCGGGTCACCGTGCCTCACTCACACCTCACTCTCCGCATATATATATAATGTCTTTCTACCTCTGTATGTTAGAAGTGATCAAGGTCCCGGGACCGAAACGTTTTCTAATAAATATGTCATAGTGTTTGCTTACGTGTCTTTCTACACCAAACAATGGATATAAATCGAGAGCTGTGTTCCTTTTAATACTTTTAGGTTCTTGGCCTCTTGTGTATCTTTTAATCTTCTCTTACACTACCATACACAGGATGAATGTGGCGGTACACAATAAATTAGCCGATTAGGCGGGGAAAAAAAAAGTGGCATAAGATTCAATAAACTAGGTATATTTTGTTAATATTCCTGGTGATGTTTGCCTTAGGAAGCAAGTGGCACTCTCGCCGGAAGCTGTTGACCCCGGCCTTCCACTTCAAGATTCTGGAGGATTTTGTGGAGGTTTTCAACAACCAGAGCAACAAGATGGTGCAGAAGTTGCAGCAGAAGGCAGATGGCAAGCCTTTTGATATCTTCCCATTTGTTACGCTCTGTACCCTTGATATTATCTGTGGTAAGCTCTTAAAGTATATTTAATCCTATATGAAATTAATGGTAGTAATTGTAATTAGCATCGAAATCCATTTAAATCCATGTTAAAGCGGATTTTCGAACCAAACTTTGTATTTATGAATGCTTTCTGCTGAGTTAAGAACATAAGAACATAAGAAAGGAGGAACACTGCAGCATGCCTGTTGGCCCATACTAGGCAGGTCCTTAACAATCCTTCCAACTAACAAAATATTTGCCCAACCCAATTTACAATGCTACCCAAGAAATAAGTTTTGATGATTCTATTTACTCATTATGCAAGTCTCACTCAAATCCAACCTCTCTCACTCATGTATTTACCTAACCAAAATTTGAAACTACCCAACGTTTTAGCTTCAATAACCCTACTAGGCAGACTGTTCCACTCATCAACTACCTTATTTCCAAACCAATACTTTCCCATATCTTTTCGAAATCTAAACTTATCTAATTTGAATCCATTGTTGCGGGTTCTTTCTTGAAGCGATATCCTCAAAACCTTATTTATATCCCCTTTGTTAATACTCATCTTCCACTTATACACTTCGATCATGTCTCCCCTCATTCTTCGTCTTACAAGTGAATGTAGTTTAAGAGTCTTCAATCGTTCTTCGCACAGAAGGTTTCTAATGCTATGTATTAATTTGGCCATTCTATGCTGGATATTTTCTAGCGAATTTATATCCATTCTGTAATATGGAGACCAGAACTGAGCTGCGTAATCTAGGTGAGACCTTACAAATCTGTCCAGTGTGTTCTCCGTGAATTTACACGAGATGTCCTCTCTTGAGCAACTCTACAAGCAGCTAAAAGAAGAGCTTAGGGTTGCAAAGCTTGAGATACAGCGACTGACAGAGGAAAACAAGAGGTTTCGAAGTAATCCTCCTGTTGTGAGACTCAGGTCAAGAGAATAACCTGGTCAGTGGCCGGCCAACCTGGAACAAAGCTGAAAATCAAGAAGACTGTTGGAGTGGCGGAAACAACGAAGATCCAGAAGACTGCGGTGGAGACTTCCAACCCATTTTCGGTGTTACCAGACGAATGTGTGTTGTCAACTGGAAACGTCGCAATGAGCGCCAAGGAATCATTTGCAGAGGAGGGTGAGTCGACATCCCTTGAAACCCCTGTGAAGACCATCGGAAACGTCACTACGAACTCCACCAATGAAGGTAAGAGCATTGTTTTAGTTGGTGACAGTCAAGTGAAATTTATGGATAGGGCATTTTGTCCTAGGGACAGGAAGAGGAGGCAGAGGCTATGTTTCCCTGGGGCTGGGATGGGGAATATTGTTAGCCATCTGGACATCATGAAGGGTAATGGGAGTAATCCTATTATCTGCCTCAGTGCAGGAGGCAACGATGTTGGCAGACGTAGGAGTGAAGACCTGATTAGCGGGTATAGGACAGCAATAGAGATAATTAGGAAGAAGGATGGGAACCCTGTGATATGTGGCATTATGCCTAGGAGAAGAGTTGGAAATGAATGGTTGTCCAGGGCAATTGGTGTCAATTGCTGGCTGGACAAACACTGTAAGGAAAATGCAGTAACATTCATAGACAACTGAGACCTCTTCAATGGCAGAAATGACATGTATGCCAGGGATGGGGTTCACTTATCTAGGTTTGGGGTGGGAGCACTGGCCAACGCAGTGGAGGGAGCTGTTAGGTCTTTAAATTAGAAATAGATAGTGGTATGGGTTTTCATGAAAATCAATACATTCTGAGTGTAGTGATAGTGTGAGTTTCAAGGAAACCAGCTATAGGAAGAATGAGGAAGAATTATTGGTGAACATAGGAAAGCCAATGGCATTAGGTGATAAGGAGAGTAACAGGCATAGTGGAGGAACAGAAACCAACAGGAAGTAAAAAGGGAAGAGTTTCTGAAAATATATTACACTAACAGTCGCAGTGCGAGAAATAAGATGGCCGAATTGAGGTTGGTTGCGGGTGCGGGTAACATTGATATTTTTGCCGTAACTGAGACATGGTTTAATATAAAAAATAGGGCCATGCCTGCTGAACGTCACATTCAGGGTTTAAATTGTTCCAAGTAGACAGAAATATCGGAAAGGGGGGGTGAGGTGGCACTCTATGTCCGAGATCGTTTAAATTGTTGCATAAAACCTGGAATAAAGTCCGAAACACATACTGAGTCTGGGAAGAATTTTCAGAGGGACACGAAAAATGGATTTTAGGCACGATATATCGTCCCCCAAACTTGGATAGAGACCAAGGAAGACTACTATGGGAGGAAATTGTTAAGGCCACAAGGCACGATAATGTTGTAATTCTAGGAGACTTCAGCTTTAGTCAGTTTGACTGGATTTTTTTGACAGGGAATTTTAAATCTAATGACTCTTTAGAAGTAGTTCAAGATTGTTTTTTGAAGCACGGGGTAATAACCTGCTTGACTTGGTTCTGGCAAACAAGGAATCACTTTTTAATAATGAATGGAAGTAATGGAAGTAAGATATTATGGAATATTGCTGGAATATTGCTGCACACTAACAGCACCTTTCAAGGCAGGTGAAATTGCCGACCTAGAGAATGTACAGAGAACTTTCACGGCGCGCATAACGGAGATAAAACACCTCAATTATTGGGAGCGCTTGAGGTTCCTAAACCTGTATTCCCTGGAACGCAGGAGGGAGAGATACATGATTATATACACCTGGAAAATCCTAGAGGGACTAGTACCGAACTTGCACACGAAAATCACCCACTACGAAAGCAAAAGACTTGGCAGACGATGCACCATCCCCCCAATGAAAAGCAGGGGTGTCACTAGCACGTTAAGAGACCATACAATAAGTGTCAGGGGCCCGAGACTGTTCAACTGCCTCCCAGCACACATAAGGGGGATTACCAACAGACCCCTGGCAGTCTTCAAGCTGGCACTGGACAAGCACCTAAAGTCAGTTCCGGATCAGCCGGGCTGTGGCTCGTATGTTGGTTTGCGTGCAGCCAGCAGCAACAGCCTGGTTGATCAGGCTCTGATCCACCAGGAGGCCTGGTCTCAGACCGGGCCGCGGGGGCGTTGACCCCCGGAACTCTCTCCAGGTAAACTCCAGGTAAACAGTCTCAGATTTTCGCTTAGCAGATTACAATGGGCTTAGAGAACACTTATCATCTGTTGACTGGGTTAACGAAGAGAGCCATCAATATGAGAGTTTTCTAAACACTATACATGCTGGTACATGATATCAGCAGGTCCCTCTCTAGTCTCACCTCCTTAGTTCCACTACTACTACTACTACCACCTCCACCCACGCGTCACTTCACCTGACTCCTACCACTACATATATTCGTTTTATTAGTTTTCTCTGTATTAGGACTGAAGAAGTCACTCTTGGAGAAACGTTTCCTTTAATAAATGTCCTGAATTGCACATAAGTGTCTTTTTCCACATCTTGTCGGTATTGCCATACCATTTCCTCACTCATATACAGTTCAGGACATTTATTAAAGGAAACGTTTCGCCACGAGTGGCTTCTTCAGTCCTAATACAGGCTGTCTCAGGGGTCGAGTCCAAGCTCCTGGCCCCCCCTCTTCACTGGTCGCTACTAGGTCACTCTCCCTGAACCTGCCTCCACTACATCGCTTCCCAAACTATTCCACTTCCTGACTACTCTGTGGCTGAAGAAATACTTCCTAGCATCCCTGTGATTCATCTGTGTCTTCAACTTCCAACTGTCCCCCCTTGTTGCTGTGTCCAATCTCTGGAACATCCTGTCTTTGTCCACCTTGTCAATTCCTCTCAGTATTTTGTATGTCGTTATCATGTCTCCCCTATCTCTCCTGTCCTCCAGTGTCGTCAGGTAGATTTCCCTTAACCTCTCCTCGTAGGACATACCTCTTAGCTCTGGAACTAGTCTTGTTGCAAACCTTTGCACTCTCTCTAGTTTCTTTACGTGCTTGGCTAGGTGTGGGTTCCAAACTGGTGCCGCATACTCCAATATGGGCCTAACGTACACGGTGTACAGGGTCCTGAACGATTCCTTATTAAGATGTCAGAATGCTGTTCTGAGGTTTTCTAGGCGCCCATATGCTGCAGCAGTTATTTAGTTGATGTGCACTTCAGGAGATGTGCCTGGTGTTATACTCACCCCAAGATCTTTTTCCAAGACTGAGGTTTGTAGTCTCTGGCCCCCTAGACTGTTCTCCGTCTGTGGTCTTCTTTGCCCTTCCCCAATCTTCATGACTTTGCCCTTGGTGGGGTTGAACTCCAGGAGCCAATGAATGATCGAATGAATTCTTCTCATCAACTCACGTCATCTGCAAACGGGGACACTTCGGAGTCTATTCCTTCTGTCATGTCGTTCACAAATACCAGAAACAGCACTGGTTCTAGAACTGACCCCTGTGGGACCCCACTTGTCGCAGGTGCCCACTCTGACACCTCGCCACGTACCATGACTCGCTGCTGTCTTCCTGACAAGTATTCCCTGATCCATTGTAGTGCCTTCCCTGTTATCCCTGCTTGGTCCTCCAGCTTTTGCACTAATCTCTTATGTGGAACTGTGTCAAACGCCTTCTTGCAGTCCAAGAAAATGCAATCCACCCACCCCTCTCTCTCTTGTCTTACTGCTGTCACCATGTCATAGAATTCCAGTAGGTTTGTGAGACAGGATTTCCCGTCCCTTAAACCATGTTGGCTGCTGTTGATGAGATCATTCCTTTCTAGGTGTTCCACCACCCTTCTCCTGATAATCCTCTCCATGACTTTGCATACTATACATGTCAGTGACACTGGTCTGTAGTTTAGTGCTTCATGTCTGTCTCCTTTTTTCAAGATTGGGACTACATTTGCTGTCTTCCATGCCTCAGGCAATCTCCCTGTTTCGATAGATGTATTGAATATTGTTGTTTGGGGTACACATAGCACCTCTTCTCCCTCTCTCAGGACCCATGGAGAGATGTTATCCGGTCCCATTGGCTTTGGCTCACTCAGAAGCCTCTTCACTTCTTCCTCGGTTGTGTGTACTGTGTCCAGCACTTGGTGGTGTGCCCCACCTCTCTGTCTTTCTGGAGTCCCTTCTGTCTCCTCTGTGAACACTTCTTTGAATCTCTTGTTGAGTTCCTCACATACTTCACGGTCATTTCTTGTCTCTCCTCCTTCCTTCCTTAGCCTGATTACCTGGTCCTTGACTGTTGTTTTCCTCCTGATGTGGCTGAATAACAGCTTCTGGTCAAATTTGGCTTTTGCTGCTATGTCGTTTTCATACTCTCGTTGCGCCTCCCTTATCTGTGCATATTCATTTCTGGCTCTAAGACTGTTCTCCTTATTCTCCTGGGTCCTTTGCCTTCTATATTTCTTCCATTCCCAGTCACACTTGGTTTTTGCCTCCCTGCACCTTTGGTTGAACCATGGGCTCATCCTGGCTTTTTCATTAATCCTGTTACCCTTGGGTACAAACCTCTACTCAGCCTCCTTGCACATTGTTGTTACATATTCCATCATCTCATTAACTGGCTTCCCTGTCAGTTCTCTGTCCCACTGAACCCCGTTCAGGAAGTTCCTCATTCCCGTGTAGTCCCCTTTCTTGTAGTTTGGCTTCATTCGTCCTGGCCTTCCTGCTTCCCCCTTCACTTGTAACTCTACTGCATATTCGAAGCTTAAAACCACATGATCACTGGCCCCAAGGGGTCTTTCATGTGTGATGACCTCAATATCTGCACTACTCAAGGTGAATACTAGGTCCAGTCCTGCTGGTTCATCCTCTCCTCTCTCTCTTGTAGTGTCCCTTACATGTTGGTACATGAAGTTTTCCAGTGCCACCTCCATCATTTTAGCCCTTCATGCATCTTGGCCCCCATGTGGCTAAAAGTTCTCCCAATCGATCTCCTTGTGGTTAAAGTCACCCATGATCAGGAGCTTTGCCCTGCATGCATGAGCTCTTCTGGCCACTGCAGCCAGTATGTCAACCATCGCTCTATTGCTCTCGTCATACTCTTGCCTTTACCTCTTGCTGTTCTGTGGTGGGTTATACATCACTGCAATTACCACCTGTGGACCTCCAGAGTGAAGCGTTCCAGCTATGTAATCGCTTGCTTCTCCACTGTCTCCTCTCTCCAGCTCATCAAAATTTCATCGGTTTTTGATCAGCAGTGCCACTCCTTCTTCCCCTGTTCCCTCTGTCTTTCCTCAGGATCTGTGTGTGTGTGTGTGTGTGTGTGTGTGTGTGTGTGGCGTCACTTTCACACTCAAATATAACTTCCATAGCCAGAATTCAAAGAATTCTGCCTATCGCTAGCACATTTTGTTGTGGTGTCAGTAAGCTGTTGCAATGAAGGTTCACTGTAGAGGTAGAGGCAGAGGCAGGATGTTGTGGGTTAAATGTGAAGGATCGAAAAATGTCGTCATTGTTCTCTGGATGTTGTTTAATATATAGGGAATCTTAATCCAACAAGCCGGGGTCCTGCTTCTACTAGGTTCAGTTACCAACTCAACTTACGCCGAGACGTGCGGAGGAATACCAGTATGAAGGTGTCACAGGGTACACACCTTCTACCAACTGTCATACTGGTTGTTACACTTATAATATTATGGCCTATAGATAATTATGACATTACTGACAATTGACACATAGGAGAAGCAGCAAGGAGAAGCCATAGAGCAATAACAAGACTACTTATTAGAGTTTTAACTACAAATATATAGACTAGGATAACTGGGACGCACATGGGGGACTATAAACATGGAGGATTAAGTTGAGGAAGGTGTTTAAGGAAAAAATTGTGTTTATATGTTAGAGATGAGCCAACTATATAAAATATTCGCCAACAGGTCCTCAGACATAAGTACTGTGCTGAACTTCGTATACTTTGTGGCAGTGAATGTAGAGAAAACAATGGCTTTTTCATTTTTAAGATGCTTCGAGATTTGTGATAGAGCACATGGGTTATCCTCCCATCACGCTGACCTTTTACAACATGGCGTCTGATTTCAGCAACCCTCAGAAGGGTTTTCCAGGAGTCCAGGTTTTTTGGCTATTCCAGACTTTAGTCTTGATTTTGAGTTAAAAAAATGAATCGGACAGTCCACACTTGGCCTCTTCGGCTCTATGTTCCAATTGTTGCCTCAGGGACCAGGTTCATTTTCTATTAGATCTGTGTGTTGATCCGAGCAGTACTGACACTATGAATAATACTATTGCAGCGCTGTATAGCCCTTGTGGCTTAGCGCTTCTTTTTGATTATAATAATAATATGAATAATACTCTTTTACGATTTCTTTGTTGCTTCTGAAAAAGAGAAACTGTCATAATATTGGAACCTTTAATTTATTTTTTAAATGACTAAATTTAATTAAAAAGTATCCCTTTGAAAATCTGGAAGTGTAAAATCCAATTAAATACTCTAACATTGTTAATATAGCTATTCACATCACCTACTTAACCATTTTGCAGCTAAGGCAAGAAACCACATATTCTCTACCACCAGATCCAAGTACCGATATAACAAGTAAGTTTAATCAATATATAGTACAACGTTATGAGGCTAAGTTGTACCTCTGGAAACGGTATCATTTTTCATCATTCACAGTTATACAAACTAACTTTTACCTGAAAGGTGTGTTCCACCACAGGTGGTATCAGTGTCTGTTCTGTCCACCGCAGGTGGTATGAGTGTCTACTCTGGCCACTACAGGTGGTACCAGTGTCTGCTCTGGCCACCACAGGTGGTAACAGTGTCTGTTCTGGCCACTACAGGTGGTACCAGCGTCTGCTCTGGCCACCACACCTGGTATCAGTGTCTGCTCTGACCACCGAGGGTGGTATCAGTGTCTGCTCTGGCCACCACAGGTGCTATCAGTGACTGCTCTGGCCACCGTAGGTGGTATCAGTGTCTGCTCTGTCCACTACAGGGGGAACCAGCTTCTGCTCTGGCTACCACAGGTGGTATCAGTGTCTGCTCTGGCCACTACAGGCGGTATGAGTGTCTGCTCTGGCCACTACAGGTGGTATCAGTGTCTGCTCTGGCCACTACAGGTGGTATCAGTGTCTGCTCTGGCCACTACAGGTGGTATCAGTGTCTCCTCTGGCTACAAGAGGTGGTATCAGTGTCTTCTCTGGCCACGACAGGTGGTACCAGCGTCTGCTCTGGCCACTACGGGTGATACCAGTGTCTGCTCTGGCTACCACAGGTGGTATCAGTGTCTGCTCTGGCTACCACAGGTGGTATCAGTGTCTGCTATGGCCACTACAGGTGATACCAGCGTCTGCTCTGGCCTCCGCAGGTGGTATCAGTGTCTACTCTGGCCACTGGAGGTGGTATCAGTGCTCTGGCCACCACAGGAGGTAACAGTGTCTGCTCTGGCCACTACAGGTAGTATCAGTGTCTGCTCTGGCTACCGGAGGTGGTACCAGTGTCTGCTCTGGCCACTACAGGTGGTACCAGCGTCTGCTCTGGCCACTATGGGTGATACCAGTGTCTGCTCTGGCTACCACAGGTGGTATCAGTGTCTGCTCTGGCCACTACAGGTGGTACCACCGTCTGCTCTGATCATTGCAGGTGATACCAGCGTTTGCTCTGGCCACCGCAGGTGGTATCAGTGTCTGCTCTGGCCACCGGAGGTGGTATAAGTGTCCGCTCTGGCCACCGGAGGTGGTATCAGTGTCTGCTCTGACCACTACAGGTGATACCAGTGTCTGCTCTGGCCACCGCAGGTGGTATTAGTGTCTGCTCTGGCCACCGGAGGAGGTATCAGTGTCCGCTCTGGCCACTACAGGTGATACCATCGTCTGCTCTGGCCACTACAGGTGATACCAGTGTCTGCTCTGGCCTCCGCAGGTGGTATCAGTGTCTGCTCTGACCACCACAGGTGGTAACAGTGTCTGCTGTGGCCACCACAGGAGGTAACAGTGTCTGCTCTGGCCACCACAGGTTCTAACAGTGTCTGCTCTGGCCACCAAAGGTTGTAACAGTGTCTGTGGCCACCACAGGTTGTAACAGTGTCTGCTCTGGCCACCACAGGTGGTAACAGTGTCTGCTCTGGCCACCACAGGTGGTAACAGTGTCTGCTCTGGCCACCACAGGTGGTACCAGTGTCTCCTCTGGCCACCACAGGTGGTACCAGTGTCTGCTCTTGCCTCCACAGGTGGTACCAGTGTCTACTCTGGCCATCACATGTGGTACCAGTGTCTGCTCTGGCCACCACAGGTTGTAACAGTGTCTGCTCGGCCTCCACAGGTGGTACCAGTGTCTGCTCTGACCACCACAGGTGGTAACACTGTCTGCTCTGGCCACCACAGGTGGTAACAGTGTCTGCTCTGGCCACCACAGGTGGTAACAGTGTCTGCTCTGCACCACAGGTTGTAACAGTGTCTGCTCTGGCTACCACAGGTGGTACCAGTGTCTGCTCTGGCCACCACAGGTAGTAACAGTGTCTGCTCTGGCCACCACAGGTGGTAACAGTATCTGCTCTGGCCACCACAGGTGGTAACAGTGTCTGCTCTGGCCACCACAGGTAGTAACAGTATCTGCTCTGGCCACCACAGGTGGTAACAGTGTCTGCTCTGGCCACCACAGGTGGTAACAGTGTCTGCTCTGGCCACCACAGGTGGTACCAGGGGGTAAATAGATCGACGACACAAAGCCACTTAAGGTTCATCTGGGACTTGTTAAACAGTGTTCACTTGTAACTTACGTTTACTGTCTTAGACTGTTGTTTTTTGTCTTACAGAGACTGCTATGGGGTGTAACATAAATGCTCAGGATAATAGCGACTCAGATTATGTCAAGGCAGTGTACAGGTAAGTAACACTGGCAGTGTACAGGTAACACTGGCAGTGTACAGGTAACACTGGCAGTGTACAGGTAAGTAACTCTGGCAGTGTACAGGTAAGTACCACTGGCAGTGTACAGGTAAGTAACACTGGCAGGGTATAGATAAGTAACACTGGCAGTGTACAGGTAAGTAACACTGGCAGTGTACAGGTAAGTAACACTGGCAGTGTACAGGTAAGTAACATTGGTAGTGTACCGGTAACACTGGCAGTGTACAGGAAACACTGGCAGTGTACAGGTAACACTGGCAGTGTACAGGTAAGTAACACTGGCAGTGTACAGGTAAACTGGCAGTGTACAGGTAAATAAAACTGGCATGTACAGTAAGTAAAAACTGAGGAAAAAGGTAAAAAACAGGCAGTGTACAGGAATAACATTGAAGTGTACAGTAAGAACACGCAGTGTAAAGTAAGTAACACTTGCAGTGTACAGGTAAGTAGCACTGGCAGTGTACAGGTAAGTAACACTGGCAGTGTACATGTAAATAACACTGGCAGTGTACAGGTAAGTAACACTGACAGTGTACAGGTAACACTGGCAGTGTACAGGTAAGTAACACTGGCAGTGTACAGGTAAGTAACACTGGCAGTGTACAGGTAAGTAACACTGGTAGTGTACAGGTAACACTGGCAGTGTACAGTTAACACTGGCAGTGCACAGGTAACACTGGCAGTGTACAGGTAAGTAACACTGACAGTGTACAGGTAACACTGGCGTGTACATGTAAGTAACACTGGCAGTGTACAGGTAAGTAACACTGGCAGTGTACAGGTAAGTAACACTGGTAGTGTACAGGTAAGTAACATTGGCAGTGTACAGGTAACACTGGCCGTGTACAGGTAAGTAACACTGACAGTGTACAGGTAAGTAACACTGGCAGTGTACAGGTAAGTCACATTGGCAGTGTACAGGTAAGTAACACTGGCAGTGTACAGGTAACACTGGTAGTGTACAGGTAAGTAACACTGGCAGTGTACAGGTAAGTAACACTTGTAGTGTACAGGTAACACTGGCAGTGTACAGGTAACACTGGCAGTGAACAGGTAAGTAACACTGGTAGTGTACAGGTAAGTAACACTGGCAGTGTACAGGTAAGTAACACTGGCAGTGTACAGGTAAGTAACACTGGCAGTGTGCAGGTAAGTAACACTGGGTTACAGGTAAGTACCGAGTGTACAGGGTAACAGGTGTTCAGGGTAACATGGCATGACAGGGTAACACTGGGTAAGGGTAACCGGCAGTGACGGTAAGGAATGGCAGTGTACAGGTAAGGGCATGGGTGTCAGGTAGTAACAGGCAGTGTACAGGGAAGTAACACTTGGGAGTGTACAGGTAAAAAATAACATTGGAGTGGTAAACCCGGTAAGTAACACTGGGAGTTTGTACCCTGTAAGGGAACACTGGCAGTGTCAGGTAACACTGGCAGTGTACAGGTAAGTCACTTGGAAATGTACAGGTAAGTAACATGGAGTGTACAGGGAAGTAACCTGGCAGTGTACAGGTAATAACACTTGCAGTGTACAGGTAACAATGACAGTGTACAGGTAACACTGGCAGTGTACAAATAACACTGGCAGTTTACAGGTAACACTGGCAGTGTACAGGTAACACTGGCAGTGTTCAGGTATGTAACACTGGCAGTGTACAGGTAAGTGACACTGAAAGTGTACAGGTAAGTTAAACTGGAGTGTACAGGGAAGTAACACTGGCAGTGTACAGGAGTAACATTGGTAGTGTACAGGTAAGTAACACTGGCAGTGTATAGGTAAGTAACACTGGCAGTGTACAGGTAAGTAACACTGGCAGTGTACAGGTAAGTAACACTGGCAGTGTACAGGTAACACTGGCAGTGTACAGGTAACACTGGCAGTGTACAGGTAACACTAATAGTGTACAGGTAAGTAATACTGGAAGTGTACAGGTAAGTAACACTGGCAGTGTACAGGTAAGTAACACTGGCAGTGTACAGGAAGTAACACTGGCAGTGTACAGGGGACGTAACAAACTGGCAGTGGTAAAAAGGGTAAGTAACACTGGCAGTGTACAGGTAACACTGGCAGTGTACAGGTAACACTGGCAGTGTACAGGTAACACTGGCAGTGTACAGGTAACACTGGCAGTGTACAGGTAAATAACACTGGCAGTGTACAAGTAAGTAACACTGGCGGTGTACAGGTACGTAACACTGGCAGTGACAGGTAAGTAACACTGGCAGTGTACAGGTAAGTAACATTTGGAGTGTACAGGTAAAAAATGGCAATGTACAGTAACACTGGCAGTGTACAGGTAACACTGGCAGTGTACAGGTAACACTGGCAGTGTACAGGTGACACTGGCAGTGTACAGGTAACATTGGCAGTGTACAGGTAAGTAACACTGGCAGTGTACAGGTAACACTGGCAGTGTACAGGTAAGTAACACTGGCAGTGTACAGGTAAGTAACACTGGCAGTGTACAGGTAAGTAACACTGGCAGTGTACAGGTAAGTAACACTGGCAGTGTACAGGTAAGTAACACTGGCAGTGTACAGTTAACACTGGCAGTGTACAGGTAAGTAACACTGGCAGTGTACAGGTAAGTAACACTGGCAGTGTACAGGTAAGTAACACTGGCAGTGTGCAGGTAAAACACTGGCAGTGTACAAATAAGAAACACTGGAGTGTACAGGTAAACACTGGCAGTGTACAGTTAAGTAAACTGGCAGTGTCAGGTAAGTAACACTGGGAGTGTACAGGTAAGGTAACACTGGCAGTGTACAGGGAAGTAACACGCGGTGTACAGGTAAGTAACACTAGGGAGTGTACAGGTAAGTAACATTTGGAGTGTACAGGAAGTAACACTGGCAGTGTACAGGTAAGTAACACTGGCAGGGGGGGTACAGGTAAGTAACACTGGCAGTGTACAGGTAAAATAACAATGGAGGTACAGGTAAGTAACCTGAAATGTACAGGAAAGTAACACTGGGAGTGTACAGGTAAAGTGACACTGGAGTGTACAGGTAAGTAACACCCGGCATTTTACAGGTAAGTAACCCCTGGCATGTACAGTAGTAACACTGGTAGTGTACAGGAACACTGGCAGTGTACAGGAAAATAACACTGGCAGTTTGGGACAGGGTAAGGGAACAATGGCAGTGTACAGGTAAGCACTGTAGTGTACAGGCACACTGGAGTGACAGGTAAGAACACTGGCAGTGTACAGGTAAGTTTAACACTGGCAGTGTACAGGTAAGTAACACTGGAAATGTAATAAAAAGGTAAAGTAACACTGGCAGTTTTACAGGTAAGTAACACTGGGAGTGTACATAAGTAACACTGGAGTGTACAGGTAAGTAACACTGGCAGTGTACAGGTAACACTGGAGTGTACAGTACACGGCGTACAGGTAACACTGGCAGTGTCAGGTAACACTGGCAGTGTACAGGTAACTCTGGCAGTGTACAGGTAGCACTGGCAGTGTACAGGCAACACTGGCAGCGTACAGGTAAGTAACACTGGCAGTGTACAGGTAACACTGGCAGTGTACAGGTAAGTAACACTGGCAGTGTGCACGTAACACTGGTAGTGTAGAGGTAAGTAACACTGGCAGTGTACAGGTAAGTAACACTGGCAGTGTACAGGTAACACTAGCAGTGAACAGGTAAGTAACACTGGCAGTGTGCAGGTAAGTAACACTGGCAGTGTGCAGGTAAGTAACACTGGCAGTGTACAGGTAACACTGGCAGTGTACAGGTAACACTGGCAGTGTACAGGCAACACTGGCAGTGTACAGGCAACACTGGCAGTGTACAGGTAACACTGGCAGTGTACAGGTAAGTAACACTGGCAGTGCAAAGATAACACTGGTAGTGTACAGGCAACACTGGCAGTGTACAGGTAAGTAACACTAGCAGTGTACAGGTAAGTAACACTAGCAGTGTACAGGTAAGTAACACTAGCAGTGTACAGGTAAGTAACATTGTCATATTTTTTAATTGTTAGTAAAATTTACTTTTAGTACAAACATCACATTAAGCAGTTTATCTTGTGTCTCATCTTTACCAGCAGTTCAACATCTTGTGTCTCATCTTTACCAGCAGTTCAACATCTTGTGTCTCATCTTTACCAGCAGTTCAACATCTTGTGTCTCATCTTTACCAGCAGTTCAACATCTTGTGTCTCATCTTTACCAGCAGTTCAACATCTTGTGTCTCATCTTTACCAGCAGTTCAACATCTTGTGTCTCATCTTTACCAGCAGTTCAACATCTTGTGTCTCATCTTTACCAGCAGTTCAACATCTACTAACACAATCTATCATATTTAATGACTTGTTTTTTATTCAAAGATTTACTCTATAATAAATGCTGTCCTAGAAAATACAAAAATATATTTCCCTTTTTCTTTGTGTTAATAAATGCTGTGCATAATTCCATTCAGGTCAGCATAATTTCAACCTGTTTTAGTTTTATTAAATTATTTGTACAGTGAAAAGCATTCATAAAAAACTATTTATAATTTATCGTTACCTTTGTTGTGGATATTTGAATAATTTTTTATGTAGGCATAATATTCTTACTAATTTTTTATTTATTAATGATGAGTCTATTTCTTTTCTCTTTTTTCCTGAAGTAAAGAACAATAAATTTTAAATTTATTAGAATAAATGATATGTAAATGAACATACTCTGTGTGTGAACTTCACTATCATGTTCATACAAGCAATTTGGGTAGGGATGCAATGTAAATATTACTCACCAATTTCCGTTGCATCTCTGAGGCAGCTGGGAATTTTTGTCACTGCAGGTGACAAGGAGAGTATCCCCCTCGATACCCACGACCCTCAAACTTAGTCACTGCAGGTGACAAGGAGAGTATCTCCCTCGATACCCACGACCCTCAAACTTAGTCACTGCAGGTGACAAGGAGAGTATCTCCCTCGATACCCACGACCCTCAAACTTAGTCACTGCAGGTGACAAGGAGAGTATCCCCCTCGATACCCACGACCCTCAAACTTAGTCACTGCAGGTGACAAGGAGAGTATCCCCCTCGATACCCACGACCCTCAAACTTAGTCACTGCAGGTGACAAGGAGAGTATCTCCCTCGATACCCACGACCCTCAAACTTAGTCACTGCAGGTGACAAGGAGAGTATCTCCCTGATACCCAGACCCTCAAACTTAGTCACTGCGGTGACAAGAGAGTATCCCCCTCGATACCCACGACCCTCAAACTTAGTCACTGCAGGTGACAAGAGAGTATCCCCCTCGATACCCACGACCCTCAAACTTAGTCACTGCAGGTGACAAGGAGAGTATCCCCCTCGATACCCACGACCCTCAAACCTCACATCAGCCAGGATCTAAAATTGTACGTTACATTTAAACTTGAACAAAACCAGGGATTCTGGTATACTTTGATTGGTTGTGGACTGTATAAATTGGGTTTGGCTTGTTGAAAGAGGGTGGGCGGGTTAATACAGTTAATGTGAAGCATATAACAAATTAGTATAATTATTGACAAAACTTTGCGATACCACTTTCCAAATTTTCTCTGAAGGTCAGTTGATGCAGCTGGGTCACCCACAAAACCTACCTTACTCTATAGAACCTAAACTGGCCAGCTAGCTCTACATTGAAAGACGGTTTACCTATATTACAACCCAGGAATCCAAATGGCCTGTTATCCCGGGTGTAATGGGAACAAAATAAACACAGCAGAAAAAGTTTAGACTTACATTATCTTTCACCAATTTAGGACAGCAATATGTACACTATGTACAGTGATAAGTATAGTGCACTCCACGGTAAGCAAGGCAGAATAGAAGCCACAAGATAGCAGACCGTGCTTCAACCACCTCTAGAATGGGAATGACAAGGGCAGACAGGAGAGTGGTACCCACATAACCTCTGCGATTGCCAAAACCATCTTATTGGCTAGAACCTGGTCACTAGTTGAACGACGGGGCCCCATCATCAACTCTTAGCAACCTGGTTCGCTGGTTGGGGGAGATAGCCTGTAAATGAGGGTGTGTACATGCGCCGAATAAAGGTTACGTGCTCTTTGCATGCCACAACTTACCTATGGATATGAAGACTGTATCCTTCATCATCCTCCATTCACATGCCGATTCTTGATGTCCTTCCAATTTCTTGCCCTCACTACTCTTAGCAGGATCATAATTTACAAATCTGAGGTCAATTCCCCATTAAGCCTCGGAAAACGCCGAATTTCTGGTGCAAATTACAATGTGGTCCTTTTCTAATTCAATTCAACATGGCATCTTCTCTCCACCTAGCGAAGCCGCAGATTCTCATTTCTCCACTCGAATTTTCTCGAAGGTCAAATCATCATATTTATACTTATTTACATTATTAAAAATTATACACTATAACCTAGGAAAATTAGGTACAAAATTTCCCACACTTTGTGTTAGAGGTACAAGGGTTAGAAGAGGTGTCCTTGCAATTTAAAGGACGAGAATTTGGTGAAAGTATTACTTTCATAACTTGTTATTTTCACGTATATGCAGATATTCTGATTATATATTCATGCTTTCACTTAGGATTGGTGCACTAGTTCAGTTGCGCCAGGCACGACCTTGGCTGCAGCCTAACATACTCTTTAGGCTCTCTGGGTACGCCAAGGAGCATGATGCCTGCCTCAAAATTCTACATAAGTACTCTTGTGACGCTATCAGAAGCAGGCGTAGAGAGTACCTGGAGATGAAACAGAAGAAGGATGCAGCATCCGACAAAGAGGATGTAATTGGTACGTTGGTTGGTTAGTTGATTGATTTATTTGATTATAAACATATCGACTACAGGAGGTCACTGAGGCTGCATGTTACGTGTACTCCACCAGTAAAGAGTTAATCATTAAAAGCAGGAATAATTCTTATTCTTCTCATTATTATAATTTTTTGCTCAATCTGTATTGAACGTACAGCGCCTTCGATCCAAGGAAAGGGAGGGTCATTCCTAGCAAGTTCTTTTCACCAGCATCAACAGGAATTTCATTAAACTGTCAACATATATACACCGGGAGCTATACACTTCTTGGTGTGTATAATCTTAATTTGCAGATGTAGTGTTGACATTATGAATGAAGCTTAAAATACGTAAATTCATTTTCCACTAAAATATATTAATATGTTTGTAGGAGAGTCTAATGGAGATGAAAGATACTGCATTTATACATTTGATGATAGATTACAATACCGTGTGATCATAATACAGTACAATTTTATTCAAGTAGTTATATAATAATCTCTTATTTATATTTATATTCCCCTGGGAAACTTGAATAATGATATGTTGCAGTAATGAACATTACTCTATTTGTATCTGTAGCTCTTTGTGAATTATGACTAAAACATTTAATTAAGTCAAATGAAACTCTTCATTAAGATGGGAAAATTGATGTTAAAGTTACATATACTTTAGCTTCTGATAAGCGTTATTTGTTCTCTCAAATTCAGGAAAGAAGAAGCGCTTGGCATTCTTGGACCTGTTGTTGGAGTACTCAGAGCAACAAACTGCGCTCTCTGATAATGACCTTCGTGAGGAGGTTGATACATTTATGTTTGAAGGTCACGACACTACAGCTGCTGCTATCAACTGGTCACTCTATTTGATTGGTTGTTACCCAGAGATCCAGGTAATGACCTCTCACTCTCTACAGTATCTGTGTTTTGTTAATATTGAACTTCAACTGCCGAACTAAATCTGTTTGCTTCATTAGTTAGTGTTATGTAGATTATGAGTGTGTGAGTGTGTGAGTGTGAGTGTGAGTGTGAGTGTGAGTGTGAGTGTGAGTGTGTGTGTGTGTGTGTGTGTGTGTGTGTGTGTATATATGTGTGTGTGTGTGTGTGTATACACCTAATAGTGGATGCAGGGTCGAGACTCAGCTTCTGGCCCCTCCTCTTCACTGAGTGTTACTAGGTCCTCTCTCTCCCTACTCCATGAGCTTTATCATACCTCATCTTGAAGCTATGTATGGTTCCTGCCTCCACTACCTCACTTGCTAGGCTATATTCCATTTCATGACTATGACTGAAGGAACGCTTCCCTTTGACTCATCTGGGCCTTCAACTTCCAATTGTGACCCCTTGTTTCTGTGTCCCCTCTCTGGAACATCCTGTCTGTCCACCTTGTCCATTTCACGCAGTATTTTGTATGTCGTTATCATGTCTCCCCCTAACCCTCCTGTCCTCCAGTGTCGTCAGGCCGATTTCCCTTAACCTATCTTCGTAGGATATTCCCCTTAGCTCTCTAACTAACCTTGTCGCAAACCTTTGCACTTTCTCTGATTTCTTGACGTGTTTGATCAAGTGTGGGATCGAAACAGGTGCTGCATATTCCAGTATGGGCCTGACGTACACGGTGTACAGTGTCTTGAAAGATTCCTTACTAAGGTATCGGATCGCTATTCTCAGGTTTGCCAGGCACCCATATGCTATGGCAGTTATCTGGTTGATGTTTGCTTCTGGAGAAGTGCTCGGTGTTATATTCACCCCAAGATCTTTCTCCTTGAGCGAGGTTTGCAGTCTCTGGTCACCTAGCCTATAAATAAAAAAAAAAGGCACAATACCGTGACTGGAACGATACACAAATAACCCGCACATAAAAGAGAGAATCTTACGAAGACGTTTCGGCCCGACTTGGACCATTTACAAAGTCATACTAACCAGAAGTGAAGCAGGACGGCTATATATAGGCAGGAAGAGGTGGTGGTGGTGGTGGTAGTAGTAGTAGTAGTAGTACAAGAATGGTATACAATACCGACAAGATGAAATTAAGACACATGCGCAACACCCGGGCATCCCTATCGTAGACGTTTCGCCATCCAGACAGCCACTGGATGGCGAATCGTCCACAAAAAAGACAACCAGACGCCGCACATGTGTCTTAATTTCATCAGTAGTTGTAGTAGTAGTAGTAGTAGTTGTAGAAGAGGTAGTAGTGGTGGTAGTGGTAGAAGTTGGGAATAAGGAGGACGAGCGAGTCAAATACAAAGGAAGGGGAGCACTGCAAGAGAGCTAGGTGCCCACAGAGGGAGAGCAAGCGCACAGAGGTGCGTGAAAGGGGAAGTGGTGAAATAAATGAAGAAGGAACAGAAACACGAGACAGAAGAGAGAAAGACAACCCAGAGGAGAAAAGGAAAGAGGAATGGGGAAGAGGGAGAAGAAGAAAAAGAACTACTACCATCACCTCTTCCTGCCTATATATAGCCGTCCTGCTTCACTTCTGGTTAGTGTGACTTTGTAAATGGTCCAAGTCGGACCGAAATGTCGTCGTAAGATTCTCTCTTTTATGTGCGGGTTATTTGTGCACCTAGCCTATACTCCGTCTGCGGTCTTCTTTGTCCTTCTCCGATCTTCATGACTTTGCATTTGGCGGGGTTAAATTCGAGAAGCCAGTTGCGGGACCAGGTGTCCAGCCTGTCCAGGTCTCTTTGAAGTCCTACCTGATCCTCAACTGATTTAATTCTCCTCATTAACTTCACATCATCTGCGAACAGGGACACTTGTGAGTCTAACCTTTCCATCATGTTATTAACATATACTAGAAATAGCACTGGTCCTAGGGCCGACCCCTGTGGGACCTCGCTCGTCACAGGTGCCCACTGTGATACCTCATCACGTACCATGACTCGTTGTTGCCTCCCTGTCAGGTATTCTCTAATCCATTGCAGTGCCCTTCCTGTTATACGTGCTTGATCCTCTAGCTTCTGCACTAATATCCTGTAAAGAACTGTGTCGAAGGCCTACTTGCAGTCCATGAAGATGCAGTCAACCTACTCCTCTCTCTTGTGTCTTACTTCTCTTACTTTATCATAAAACTCCAGAAGGTTTGTGACATAATTTGCCTTCCATAAATCTGTACTGGTTGGAGTTTATACTCTTGTTCTGTTCCAGGTACTCCACCACTCTCTTCCTGATAATGTTCGCCATGACTTTGCATACTATACACGTCAGTGACACTGGTGTGTAGTTTAGTGCCTCTTTTCTGTCTCCTTTTTTAAATATGGGTACTACATTTGCCGTCTTCCATACCTCAGGTAGTTGCCCAGTTTCAAGGGATATGTTGAAGATTGTGGTTAGTGGCACATACAACATTTCTGCTCCCTCTCTAAAGGCCCACGGGGAGATGTTGTCTGGTCGCATTGCCTTTGAGGTATCTAGGTCCCTTAGCAGCTTCTTCACCTGCTCCTCAGTTGTGTATGTCATCTAACCTTGTTACTATATTCCTTGTTTGCGCCCCCCTCTGTTCTGTCCACCCAGAGGCCTGCCTGTCTCCACTGTAAATACTTCCTTAAATCTCACGTTGAGCTCCTCACATACATCTTGATCGCTACTGGTGAGTTCCCCACCTTCTTTCCTCAGCCGATCACTTGATCTTTGACTGTTGTCTTCCTCCTAATGTGGCTATACAGCAGTTTCGGGTCAGACTTGGCATTCGAGGCTATGTCGTTACCGTACTGTCGCTGGGCCTCCCTCCTTATCTGTGCACACTCGTTTCTGGCTCTTCGACTAGTCTCTCTATTTTCCTGGGTCCTTTGCTTTCTGTACCTTTTCCATTCTGTGGTGCACTTAGTTCTGCCTCCCGAAACTTTCGGGTACACCAAGGACTCGCTTTGGTCTTCCCATTATTTCTATTGCACTTGGGAGCAAACCTTTCCTCTGCCTCCCTGCATTTCGTTGTTACGTATTCCGTCATTTCATTTACTGAGTCTCCTGCCAATTCTCTGTCCCACTGAATCTTCTGCAGGAGTTCATCATACCTGTGTAGTCCCCCATTTTATAGTTTGGCGTTTCCCATCCAACTCCTGTTACCCTTTTCACTTATAACTCTACTGTGAATTCAAAACACAGAACCATGTGATCAATAGCTCCAAGGGGCCTCTTATATGTGATGTGATGTGTGTGTGTGTTGTGTGTGTGTGTGTGTGTGTGTGTGGATATGAAGTGTGTGAGTGAAGAAAGCATAGTACAACACACAATCTGTCCTCTTCTTGAAACTTCAGTTTCCTCGCGATGTGCCAAGTGTCAGTTTCATAACGCGTTCAGGAAACTTATTGTTGTTTTTTATTTATTATTAGTTAGCTTAATTTACGCTCTAATTTAAACGAGTATTATTCGTTGTGTAAGAATGGGCTGCGCACGCACTCTTACGCGGGAGGGAGCACGCGCACGCGCACGCACACACACACACACCCACACACACTACACCCACCCACCCACCCATCACACACACACACATACACACACACACCACACACACACAGGGCCAGGAGCTGAGTCTCGACCCCTGCAACCACAATTAGGTGAGTACACACACACACACACACACACCCACACCACACACACACACACACACACACACACACACACACACAGGGCCAGGAGCTGAGTCTCGACCCCTGCAACCACAATTAGGTGAGTACACACACACACACACACACACACACACACACACACACACACACACACACACACAGGCTGAGGAAGGAGAGATTATAGAAACGACCGCGAAGTATGTGAGGAACTTATCATGAGATTCAAAGAAGTGTTCACAGAGGAGACAGTAGGGACTCCAGAAAGACAAAGAGGTGGGGTACACCATCAACTGTTAGACACAATACATACAACCAAGGAAGAAATGAAGAGAATTCTAAGTGAGCTAGATACCTCAAAGGCAATTGGACTGGATAACATCTCTCCATGGGTCCTGAGAGAGGGAGCAGAGGCGCTATGTGTACCACTAACAACAATCTTTGTGAAGGTTTATGCAGTCCTATCAGACCTTCAGCGAGTACTTAATCAGGCTGGTTCCTCCTTATGCAAACAAAAATAGAAAAATTAGTACTAACATAACGTAAACAATTTTTTTAATTTAGTAAAGAATATAAAACACTTAAACATGACATTAACCCTTAAATGATTCAAACGTATATATACGTTTTTTCAACATCTGAAAGTATGTAAAAAAATGTAGATTTTTTTTTGTTTTACATTTGAAAACGTGTAAAAAAAACTTTTATCTACATTCTTTTTGTTACATCTGAAAATATGTAAAAAAAAGTAGATCTACTTTTGTATTATTATTATTATAATCAAAAAGAAGCACTAAGCCACAAGGGCTATACAGCTCTACTTTTGTAGCACTACGAATTTGAACGCCGATTTGTTTGGACCGTTTAAGGGTTAATCCTACTTTAAGCAAAAATGAAAAATGAAATATATAAATAATTAGTGATTCAAAGCTAATATGTACACAATGACATAGTGGAGAATGGTGCCGTGCCGATGTTCTGGGCACGTAGCTCTGAATCCTGGTTTGGAACGCCGAGCCATTGTTGATGATGGTGGGGGGGGGGGGTAACAAGTGGATTTGAATGTTGAAACAGAAGACAGTGTCCCCAACACGAGTAGAGATTCTGATGAACAGAGGTTGACTGTAATCCTCTGACCACCATAACTACCATGGAACACTGGTGGAGTTATAACTGGGAGAAGGCTGCTTGAATGGTGTGTAGCTGGCTGGGTGGTTGGCTACCTGTGGAAAGGGGACCCTTGTAGGTAGAGATGTCAGAGTGACGTCTCAGATCTTGTACAGATCTAGGATGCTCTTTAATATCTTGCCTCTGTCGAATGACCCGAGTCGATAGTCAAGGAGATTTGATTGTAGCCGCACAGACACACACTCGTCGCCTCCCACCAG